GGAGTGTCACACATTTTGTTCGCTCTGAGAGCTGTCTCTGATGGAGCTGGATTAGTGTCAAGGACTTTCCACGTGTAAATAAAGGGTGACTTGGTGATGGGATACCAGCCGTTGTGGAGTTATTTCAAGTGCTAATGTAACTTATTCACAACTGTAATTAATAAAGTATATTCTACAAGTGCAATGTATATTTACACAAAACAACCATGGATATATCTATTCTCCAACTGTTTAATCAAAGCAGATGTCATATTATTATCACTGATAGCTCTTGAACAGATTTGAAACGGCAAATGCTAGCTTTCAGCTTTAAAATTGGATGGTGAGATGAAAGATGCAGCAGTTCCACCTTGTGAACAACAATGAACAGATTGTGCACCGGAAAAATAAATGCTGTGGTTGAAACACTTATTTCTTTATAATAAAAATACTGTCAGGAGTAATTTGCACTGATGTTAAACATAGTGTTCTGACATCATGCTGACAGTCTTAGTAATAGTTTAGGTCATTTTGCATTGATGTATAATTATGTTCACCGACAGTAGAAAAGCATTGCTTTAAGTTGCCATGCAGAAAAAAAAATCCATTGCAATCATATCAAAAAGGAGTTGGCATGATATCACCTCTGAAGCAGTTCTTTCCTTTTGTTGAAATGACACTTTGGTTTATTAACTCTTCACCCTTACAACAAGCCAGTTACCTCAAATAGCTGTCTATTCAAAGACACAAAAGAAGCCCACTGATGGAAAATGAATAAAATAATGTTAGAGTAGTAACAAGACAACTGTTTAAACGTGCTTTCCAATATCACAAAAAATAGAGAATAGTACTTGCACATGAAAACTTGGAAGTGACAAAAGAAAAGGATGGCTTTATCAGAGGAAATGTTGATCAGGCTCAGCCAGAAATCATGCTGTCACTGATATTCCAAGTGGGGCCAGAATGATTAATAGTAATGGTCTTGATTGAGCTCCATTCTTTGCTGCAATTAACAGTGGAGCAGTACAGTAATTGGGGAGTTACAATATCTCTTCAACCCAGACATCTCAACAGAATCGCCTTGTTCAGATCAATGTGTGAAAGTTGTTCAGCCTATCCATTGAAGAATTGAAAGCTCTAATTTTTCTGATGTTAATGTATGGTGCAGCAATTTTCTACTTTGATTGAAAATTTTAATTAATTTTTATCTCGGTTTCTGCAACATCATGACTTGTGCTACTTCATGCCTAACTTAGGTAGGTAAAGAAGTAATCAGATGTTCAAAATCCTCAATTGGCTGAGCAGAAGCTTCCTCTTATTCAATATTGGGAAGACGAAAGAACTTCCTCAAACCCCATCACAAATTCTGTTTTTGAGCCACTGATCCCATTGCTTTCCTTAGTCAGAGGCTGAATCAGACCATTCTTAATTCTAGCTTCGTCTCAGCTCATCTGCTGGTCAAAACTACTTCTGTGTCTATGTTACCTCTCAACAGTGTACAATATTTGTCTCTTTATTTAAAAAATGGTGTAAAGGCATTGTAAGTAATTCAGAGAAGGTTCACTAGATAATACCTGGAATGGGTGGGTTGTCTTATGAGGAAAGATTGGACAGGCTAGTCTTATTTCAGCTGGAGTTTGGAAGAATAAAGAACAACTTGATTGAAATGTATATGATCCTGAGGGATTTTGCTAGGGTGAAGTGGAAAGGGAGAAAATGGAACTAGGGGTCACGGTTTAAAAAATAACATTCAGACAGCGATAAGAGAAAATGCTTTTGGACCAATGGCCATCTATCTTTGGAACTCTTCTTCAAAAGGCAGTAAAAGCAGAGTGTTTCAATATTATAAACACAGAGGTAGATAGATTCTTGATAAGCAAGGGGTGATAGATGGGAGTGTGGAATAATCAGGTCAGTAAACTTAGTGAATGGCTCCTTATCAAAGGACTATGGGGTCTACTTCTGTTCCTAATTCATATCTTGATGTGTTCTACTCAACTATTCCAGTACTCCATTGATTAACTCTCCATCAACTTAATCTCATCTAAAGCTCTGCTACTGATACTCTAACTTGTATTAGATCTAATCCATTCATCAACCTTCAGTTTGACAAAGACTCAAATCTAAAACTTCCATCTTGTCTTCAAATTGTTTACTTGATTTTTCCCCACCCTATTTTGATCTGTTCAATCTGAGTTCTTTGTGCTTCTCCAATTCTGGCCATATGCATATCCTCAACTTCTATCACTGCAACGATGACAACCTTGTCTTCAACCAGCTAGGCTCCACACTCCAGAATTCCCTTTCTAAACTCTCTATGATCCTACCGCTCTCTTCAAAGTATTTCCTCTTTCTTTATTTTTAACCTGTGCCATTTCTTCACTCCCAACCCTTTTATTGTGACATTAGCAACATTTTGGTCTTTAGTGAAAATAGAGCTAAAATACTCATAGAGTCATAGAGTCCTACAGCACAGAAACAGACCCTTCGGTCCAACCAGTCCATGCCGACCATAAATCCACATTAAACTAGTCCCACCTGCCTGCTCCTGCCCATATCTCTGCAAACCTTTCCTATTCATGTACTCAACCAAATGTCTTCTAAATGTTGTAATCATATACAGTGATATTCTACTTCCACAAGAAGAATTCCTATGAATCCCTAATAATTCTACTCCGTCTTTGACTGTCATTTTCCTATCCATGTGCTTATAAAATAAATTAGTGTTCCTTCTTACTTTTTTTTTCTGTTCTTTCCTCTACATTTTGCATTCAGTTACTTATCTATTGATTTACAAATCTGGAACTTATCAGAAGCTTCCTTCGTCTGTTCTATTTTAATCCCTACAGGGAAAGTTTAGGTTAGGCTAGTAATTAGATGAGGGGATTGTGATGTGGGATTAACCTGTGCCCATTTGTAGCAATGCAGACAGCGCTTAAAATTGTGCTATGTGTTAAGTTAATTGATTATGGCATGCAGCCCAGTGATAAGTGAGTCACTGAGTGATTGCCTGTTTCAGCCGGTGCTCCACGTTAGTGAGAAGTAAACACAATTTAAAGCTGGTCTGCTTCTCTTAAAGCCAGCTTGAGATGCATTTCAGTTGGAACTGTTTTGAGAAGAGTCTCTGAACAGAAAAAGGAGTGAAAATAATACAACAGGTGAAAGACCTTGCCTTGAGATACTGTGACACAACACTGGAAGCTTCAGGCAAGAGGGAGAATGGAAAGTTCATCTTCCCTTGTGAAGAGAAAAGCCTCCTGACAGATAAAGCCGGTGGGATGCAGGTATCTATTACAGTTAATGGTAGCAGTCTAGCTCCTGGATCTTGGATGCAGTGCAGGAGCCAGTTTAATAACCTCATGTTTGTGGCCAAACAATGGGTGACTGCATCTTTAAATGCCATATCCTTATAAATACTCTACTATCAACATCCTGGGGGATACCATTGACCAGAAAGTCAACTGGATTTGCCACATAAATATAATGGTTACAAAATCACATCAGATGCTAGGAATACTCCAACTAGTATTTGACTCCCCAAAGTCTGTCCACTACCTACAAGGCCCAATCAGGAGGGTTATAGAATGCTTCCTACTTTCCAGCTCCAAGAAAAATCAAGACGTTTGATACCATCCAGGTCAAAGCAGCCTGCAAGTTTCCCTCCAAGCCATTCACTATCCTGACTTGGAAATATACCACCATTCCTTCAGTCCTGTAATTCCATTATTAATGGTTTATGTGTTCACCAACAGCACATAGATACGATTCAAGAAGGCAGCTCACCACTATCTTCTCCAGGATGCAGCCGGTGATACCCATGCCCTG